CAGGGCCTAATGTTTACTAGGCAGGCACTCTACCTCTTGAGTCACTCCACCAGCCAGCCTGTCCTCTTACTTTTTTAGGGGAGCCTGGGAAAGCAGCAAGTTCACCCTGGGCAGGAAGCAGGAGAGTATATTTGGAACTTTGCTTCATGGTTGGGTGAAAAAAGTGCTCTTTCAGCTCTGAGTAGTTGATCAGCCCAGGTAGAGGTGTAATAACTTCAAGGAAGTCGTAGCAAGTGCTTCCTGGGGAAAGGGGCACAGGTGGGCACCCCTCAGAAGAGGAAAAGAAGTGTTCCATTCATGGGAGGAGGTGGAGAGAAAAAGTTCAATACCTGTCTTTCCAGCCACAGATGTGCAGTGGGTGACAGCACACTGGGAAGGCACCAAGGAGCCCAGATAACGCAAGGGTAATAATACCTAGCATCCACACAGTGCTTATCATGTGCACCACTGCTGTAAGTGCTTTGCAAATTTGTAAGAACATGATACAATGAAATGTTAATCCTCACAACTCTACTAGGACCATTTCTACTTCATGAATGAGGAAACAGAGGCACAGAGAGGTGATGTGAGTTACACAGTGCTGGACAGAGGCTGTCTTGTTTCTTGTACCACCACTCCTAAGCAGCAGGGGGAGTGGTGCAGTGGGGTGGAATTAACAATGGTTGCAACTTCAATTAAAAAATTCCTTGAGTTTCATCCTAGATTGATTTATTCACTTGATTCTTTAAAAGGTTGGTTTGACTTGAGTAAAAAAAAGTTGCCTACAGTGTACCTACACCATGGCTGGTATCGTGATTATTGTGTGGCCGTATTGAGAGAAGTTAAGAACATTATGTAATCAATCACTTCTTTTCATTTCTTGTCAAGATAATGATTATCTGCAATGGGTTGTTTTAGTTATGTTCACAAGAAAAATAGGTTGTGTGCCATCCTGATTCAGTCCTTTTGTTTATTTTCTTGTTGTTTGGGGGATGATCCCAGGGCCGCACACATGCAGTTGTGCCCCTAGTCTACTGTAATTCAGTTCTTGAAGACTGACAATAAACAGGCTTGTATAAAACAAGCTGATGGGACAATTGTCTTTGAGACTCTTGTTACAAATGGCCTTGATCTTAGTTGTAGGAGTTCTATGAAAACAATACTGGTAAGAAGCATATAAAATTTGCATTGCATTGTTTTTAACAAGCAAAGCACTTTCCCCAAATGCCCAATTCTTTAAACAGGACTTATATGTTTGCCTTGGTGTGCATAGCTGAGAAATTGCCTACCAAGTTCAGTACAGGAAAGTTATACAAATTGCTTTGCATTTAAAAAATTATTATTCTGGTACTCATAAATACTTTGTTTTATTGGCTATGACTTTCAAACACTTGTTATTATAGGTAAAAAAAGCATATAATAATTTTTGTGTAGGTGTGGTATTGGGGCTTGACCTCATGGCCTACACCTTGAGCCACTTCACCAATCCTTTTTTGTGATGGGGTTTTTTGAGATAGGATCTCTTGAACTATTTTCCCTGGCTGGCTTTGAACCTCGATCCTCCTGATCTCTGCCTCCTGAATAGTTAGGATCACAGGCGTGAGCCACTGGTGCCCAGCGTGGTGACTTTTTTATGTAAACATTTGCCCAAACACATACAGTGAATACATGCCAGTCTTCACCTGAAATGTAACAGCCACTACCTAACCTCTTCAGTCAGTTCAGAAATTCTCAAATAACCAGAAACTTCACACTTTGAAATGACATTTGTAGGTAAATTATTGGCTATATTTTTCAGCCAGTGATAGAAAAACTGTTCTACCATAAAAATAGGGAAAAGTGAATAGATAGGAAGCCTTAGAGTTTATCAGTTTGTTTACTTCTCTGCTAATTTTATCCTTCTATTTAGAAATTAATTTCCATGAGTGGGTGAAAACAAAGTTCAATTGTTTGAACTGAGTCATTAAGATATAGAGCTTTTGTTTAAAATAAGTATAATTTCCACTCCCAGAGGTGAGTTTGAAAACACATTTCCAGAAAATTTGTGACTTTACATGAAACGATATTTTGAGGAAAATCTGTGGTAGTCTTAAACGAAATTTCTTCCGAGTGAAAGACATATTTTGAAAACAGTCTAAGAATAGTCACTGCTAACTATGTACTATAATAAGTGACCTTATAGTGCTGGGGATGTAGTTTAGTGGTAGAACACTTGCCTAGCGTGTGTCAGCTTTGGGTTTAATCCCCAGCACTGCAAAACAACAACAACAACAAAATAACAACAACAAAATGTGACAAAAGGTGACATTACTTATCTGAAAGTGCATCTGGGTAATGGAGTCCAGAGAATGATTTTGTTTTTTTTTTGAGGTACTGGGGTTTGAACTCAGGGTCTACACTTTTAGCCACTCCACCAGCTCTTTTACGTGATTTTTTTTCTTGAGGTAGGGTCTCATGAACTATTTGTCTGGGCTGGCTCTGCCTCCTCCTGAGTAGCTAGGATTACAGGCAGGGGACACTGATGATCTGAATCACCTCATTGCCTAAGAATTTTCACTTTCAAAAGTAAGAAGAAAATGACCAATGCTTACTAAATATTAATAACTGAAAACAGGAATCTCTACTTTGTTACTTGTGAATGTAGTAATATTATTTTCCATACTTGCAGTTGAATACATATTTTTGTTAGACATTTTAATTTGTCCCTTAAGAAAAACTACTATTTCATGAGTTACTGGTAAGCAAAAGCTGTCTTCAATTCATATTAATTATCTAACCACCAAAAAGTAACAAGAAAAATGCCAAAGCAAAGTTGATATTTTATAGATGGATCACAATTGAAATCAGTAATATACGTATAAAACACTACTTCAGGTGAGTTGCAGAAAGTGAGTATATTCTGGCAGGAAAACTGTAAACTGTTGTTGATCTTGTTTATGCAATTAAACTCAGGGAATGAACATTTTTGTAAAAGAGTTAGGACTTATACCTTAAACTTACTTTCATAACTATTAATTGTATTGCTTGGTCTTTTAATCATGTTACCTTAAAAATTAACTACTATCTTGAATGAAAGATTTTCAATCAAATTATTAAACTATTTAGTGTAGTTATTAGATTTGTATAGAATCCAGTAATTTTAAATGGAACTTGAAAGTGTTTAAATAAAAACAGTAAGCAAAAGCCATCCGCTCAGGTGTCACAAAGTAGCATGCAGAAATCTTTAGAAATCCACAGAAAGGACAGAGAGGTAAATCAGAAAGTTAAGTTAAAAATAAGGACCAAGAAAGAATTCTGAAAAGCAAGGGAATTCTGAAAAGGCTGTATAAAAATTGGTCAGAAGTTATAGCAATATAAATCTTAAACTGTTGTTAAAGTACTTAGCTGGCAGAATAAACCTATTTCATCTTCTTTCTTACAGCTCACGATCCTTTTTATTGGTTGTGAAGCAAAAGTAAAGCTTCAGGTCTTGGAAATGACACAAACTGAGTTAAGTTTCCTAAAAGTGTGACTTTTAGGAAGCCTAATCTGCTTCTACTAGACAGGATTTTCTTTGCCTGTTGCAAGTCAGATTAATCTGGGGACTGAATTGTCCTGCCTTCACTCTAGGGTGTTTGATGGATATTATCAGTGTATGTAAAGGATCTCAAGGTGACTTCTAGAGCAGCAATGTCCAACAGAACTTTCTGAGATGATAGAAGTGTTCCATACATTCTTTTTCCAATATGGTAGCCATTAGCCACCTATGGCTACTGAGCACTTGAAGTGTGGATTGTGTGACTGAGAAACTGAATTTTAAATTGTATTACATTTTAATTAATTTAAATTTAAATAGCTCTGACAACCAGTGATGGTTACCATATAGGATAGTGCATTTTTAGAACTCTCCATCCCCTGTCATCTTTTTTTTTTTTTTTGACAGTACTGGGGTTTGAACTCAGGGTCTCAAGCTTGCTAGGCAGGTTGTACTCTACCAATTGAGCCACATCTTAACCCTTCTCCAACAATCCCTTTAACTAAAGTCTTCAAACATCATTTCACTACAGATTCTGGATTTTCTGGGTTTCAATGTCACTCAAGGCTTCTAGGTTCCACAGGGGTAGGGTGACCTATAATTGAGTGTCCAAAGTGGGATCCTTTGAGAAAGGCAGGGAATACTATTAACAATTAGATGAAAAAAGACATATAATCTGAGACCATCCAGGCCAGGCAGTAAGATTTGGTCTCCCTTCCTGTAGGGTTTATTGTTAGAATGTTCCTTTGGGAAGTATTTGAGTTTGACTTGACTTCTTTTTAGGTTGCTACAGAAAGTTTAAGCATCAATGGAATGCACATATTTTCACCATACCATGATTTCTTTGTCCCCACAAATATTTACCCAAATCTTTTAACTCATTTCTCCTTTCCTAGTGACTTCCAACCACTGAGTAAAGCCATGTCTGTCATGATGCTAAATAACCAACAAAAACAGAAGTCAATAATCAGGGGACTGATATTTGAGATTAGACCAAGTATCAGAATAATCAAATTGGTTTAGGTATTTTAAGCTTTCCTCTTGCTTTTTGGTAAAAGGCAAAAAGTGCCCAAAAGATCAGAGGTAGTTTTCTGTAGTATAGTCACTCAACATTCCCAGTGGGGTTAAACTGAGTTGGCAGAACAGGTAGCAGTTCACTTAGTCCACATCCTGGATTTTTTTTTTTTTTGATAAGTGGGAGAGCATTGGGAACTCTCTTAGTTAGCTCTGCCATTAACAGAGGAGCTAGTAAGATCAATATTAACAGTTAATTTCAGAAGACAGGCTCAGGTCATTGCAGAGTACTCTGAAGTTCTCATTTTCAGAACTTAATGTGCTTTAAAATAGCCTAGAAGGCATTGATTTGATATAAAATACAATGCAAAGATTGGAACATCAGGGCCTAAAATTAATTTTGAAAATCCAGTTGCACCAATAAATTGTCCTTAAAGCAAAAAATACATACAACTCAGCAATTCCCATGAAATCTCCCCAGTATGGCCTGGCTTTTCAAATCTCACCACATTTTACAACATATTTGTGTTGAACACAGTAAAGTTTTGTATTAAGAAAAGATAGTTCAATTTTTGTGGGGGGATGTGATACTGGGGTTTGAACTCAGGGCCTCACACTTGCTGGGCAAGTCCTCTACCACTTGCCCTGTTCCTCCCTGCCCTAAAATGCTTAAGTTTGTTTTTAGATAGTGTCTTGCACTTTTGCTTGGGGTTGGTCTTAGACTGTGGTTCTCCTACTTATGTCTCCCACACAGCTAGGATTACAGGAGAATACTTAACAATTTAATAGGAAAGTAGAGGAATAGGGAAGTAGTTATTCCAGGAGATTTACCTGATGAAAAAACAACTTAACAACATATAACTCAAAGAATCAGAGATATGTCTCCGAATCATTTTGTTCAAGACTTTTACCAACCTGATAGCTCGAATGACAGTTTTAAGTGGTGGAGTGAGATCTTCTACGGATACATCACACTGGCATCCTTTTTCATCATATACGTCATCAGTGCCAAGGGCTGTGTCAGCTGCAAAAAACAACACCAGTTAACACCACTGCAGTGATTTAAAACATGTTGCTGAGTTTGCCTCACACAGAATACTGGGGTACTCACAGATAAGCTTATAAACCATGGCATGTATAAGGTCAGCCAATTGTTTCTTCAATATTATTCTTTTTCCTTCCTCTACAACCTCACCAGTATTATGTGACTTGACATGAATACTTTTCTGAGCTGTTTTCCAAGGGGAAGATGGTGGTGATGGATTTGTGTTGCTCCATACATGCTCTTTGCTCAGTTCCTTGGAAACTAATAGCCATCATTTAAATGACAGCTGTCTGGAGTTACAGAAACAGTCTGTGGACATGTGACTAACCCGCCTGCATATACAGAGCTCAAATCCCATGCTATTATTCCTATTCCCTGAACAAGTGAGCTAAGCAGCCAGACCCAAGAATGGTGAATATGTATTAGTTACTGGACACAGGTGGCAGTGACCTGGAGAGAGACTGTTTAAGATAATACAACCAGTGCTAAGAGCAGATTTTCAGATTGGATAAGAAAATCAATTCCTCATACACTAATCAAACTTACTCTCAGGTTTAATTGCAACATTTGGAAAAGGGGCAGGGTCATAATAAACACCAAATTATGGATGATTTATAAAATGAATAAGGAATAAACTCATCTTTGCATCTTTCTTCAGTAACAAACATTGAAAACAAAAGTCCTATAGTAGGGGATACGCTAAATGAATATTGGCAGGTTTATACACTAGAATACTGAGAAGCTGTTAAAAATGATACTGAAGACTAATGACTTGGAAATTGTCATAATACATTGTTAAAGAAAGAAATCTATTTATATGGGATTAAGAATGATTTTACTTTTTTTATTTGGCTATATTTTCTAAAATTTCTATAATGAGTGTGCATTATCTTAGTAGTAAAAACTAAATAATGTAATAAAATGCTTTCACAGGAGATGGGATATGTAGCCTCTGAACAACATTCTTATTTGGTCCAAGTCTCTTTAAGTGTTGTCCTACACTGTAGGACTTGAAGTACTTTGTGTATTAGCTCTGGACTAAAGCTGTCATGACAAGAAGGGACTTTGCCATGGGCTGTCTTGACTGGATTCAAAATCCCTCAATTCATTGAGACAGTGCTTGTATTTGGAAGGCAGTTGGTGTGCCATTTAATTCCACTAATATTTGCTGGCTTTGCTCAGTTTACTTTTGGAGGAATGTGTGGGCAGAGACGAGTCTTCACAGCTCTTCTTGAGGGTCCTTTGGCCTTCTTGCCCTCAAGCCTAGTAAGGGGAAGAGATGGAACTGCCACCTCACACTAACAATAATAATTGGGCTATTGTCTGAATTTTTCCCCCAAAATTCAAATGTGGAAACCTAATTGCCAGTGTGACAGTATTAAGAGGTGAGGCCTTTGTGAGGCAATGAAATCGTGAGAGCAGCGTCCTTAGGAATGGGATTGGAAACCTTACAAACGGGCTGAAGGGAAATAGATGGGTCCTTTTCCTGCTCTGTCCCTTCCCCATGTGAGAACACAGGTTGGAGAATGCAGTAACAAGGCACCATCTTGGAAAAAGAGCTCTAGCCATTACCAGACATGGAACCTGGTGGTTCCTCAATCTTGGACTTCTCCATCTCCAGAACTGTGAGAAAGAAATTTCTATTCTTTATAAATTATCTAGTCTTAGATGTTTTGTTATAGCAGTACAACTAGACTACAGTAAATAGCAACCACTCTCTGAAATGTATGCTAGCGCTTAGGTGAAGCTTGTGCATATATTGGGTTTCATACTTAGAGCAACTCTATGAATTGGTGGTGGTATTGTGGAGAGATTGAGGCTTGGAGAGGGTAAATACCTTGTCAGAGGCCATAAAGGTGGTAAAAGTGAAGCTAGTAAGTTGCATAGCATGACATTACAGATGTAATTTGAAAATAAAACTATCTTTATTAGAGACAGAGAAGAAGACCCAGGGATACAAGAAAGATGGAGGCAGAGAACAGAGGAGTGGACACACAAACCAAGGGACACCAAGGATTGCTGGCACCACCCCCTAGAAGCTGAAAGAGTGGCACAGGATGGTTTCTGTCTCAGAAGCTCCAGAAGGAATCAACCTGGGAATGCCTTGATTTTGGACTTCTGGATTCCTAATCTGTGAGACAATGTATTTCTGTTGCTTTAAGTTACTCAATGTGGAGCAACTTGTTATGACAACCCAGGAAACTAATGTATTTGAAAAACTCCTCTTTATAGTTTCTAATTCTTTACTCCAGGACATTAATTATGATGATAATGATAGTAGTAAGAGGTTTTTAGAGAAATCTAATTATGTGCCAAGAACTTTAATTAATTGCTACAAAGCCCCAAGACGTGTGTACTATTATTACCCCTGTTTCATAGATTGTGGAGGTGAGGCACAGAAGGCTAAGAAACTTGCCCAGGGATACGTGGAGACTCCGAGATCCAACCAGAACTTAACCCGTGCAGTTGGGGTCTGCAGCTGCTTGACCCTGAGTTTCACCTCAAACCCTTCCAGATTTGTCCTTCTTGTCTCTCCTGTTGGCCTCTGGCTTCCCTTCTCTGGCACTGCATTTTCCTTTACATGGCAATGTGCACCTGGTATGGTTTGGACCCCACAGAATTGACCAAGGAAGATCCAGTGTGGGGCTGCGTGGTTACCATGGCCACACGCTCAGCTTACCCACCTCCCAAAGGAACTTCCAGGATGCTGTGTGAGGGTTGGAAGAGGAAGACAGGTAGAGACGGGGCTCACCTACAGGATAAGCTGATAGAACTGAGGCCACCAATTGCTATTGTGGAGCCCTGTGAGATGTCCTGATGTTAGCTACTTAAAGGAAATATCAAGTAACATGTGTTATCAGGATTTTCGGTATAGAATTCCAGAGAATGTTTTATGCTGTCCTTCTAAACAGAAGGACTGCTTTCTTTCACCTGAAGTCGAGAAGAGATACCTCTAGCAGTTCCATCTCATACCACAGAAAACTGGGGAATCCTGAGGGCACACAGGAAAGGCAGATCCCACAGCACTTGATGGCCTTTCTGCTCGAAAACAGCATAACCAACCATAACATAACCTCGGCTGTCCAAGAAGTTACACAGCAGGGTCCTTCAACTGTGAAGTCAATAGAAAACTGTTTTTCAGGTGTGTACTGTCACAATAACCACAAAAGTGACGGTACATTTACTGCTGTCGGTGGACTCGGGGACAACCCAAGTGAGTACAAGAGAGTTACTTCCTAGTCTACTGCTGTCTCAGCCCAATGAACTCCAAAAAGAGACTCTGTCTCTCCATTTCAGTTGGAGGAACAAGGATGGACAGAGGATGGGAGTCAGACACCAGTTGTATTATAGTCAAATGTGGCTTATTGAGTAGCTTTATTATAATACTTTATAATTTGATTATTCAAGGCACAAATTAAACAGTCCTACTTTTTATTTTTTGGTAAGTTTGGTTAGCGCAATAGCAAATGTATCTTTGATGGCATGTGTTGAGTCAAGGCTGAATTAGGGATTTTTCTTGTTAGTCCTTATTTCAAAGTCATGAAAATGAGGAAGATACTATCTTTTTCTTCATAAATATCTTGAGACACCTATTTTCTTTCTAGTCAAGTAAGGTTAATAACACATTAAGGGTCTTTCTTATGATTCCTAAAGGCTTAAAACATATGAGTGTTAAACACCTCGGGCTAAATTTTTAGCTGGGACCATTTTAGCTGCCTGCCCTGGCGTATGGGACATGTGAGTTATGGGAGCATGAGCCTATGTGAGCAGCAATCTGCACAAAATCTTGAGACAAAAGGCAAAATGTCAACGGAATAAGGTGCTCCCCAAAGTCCTGTCCCCATGGGCATGGGTCATGCTTAGCATAGGGAAGGAAAAGAAGTATAGAATACAATTCTTTATCTCTTTCCTTTGTTCTCTATCCTTCTTTCTATTTTTGTGATCTGGGGATTAAACCCAGGACCGTGAGCAGGTTAAGCAAGTGTTCTGCCATTGAGCTATACTCCCAGTCCCGTTTCCTACTAGTTATCACTCTTCTGGATTTATTTCTAGATATTTTTCTCTCCTGCATTTTGAAAAATCTAAACGAAAATTTGAAAAAACCACTAGTTAAAATTGCTACTTTTCAGATGAATATGGCACAACCAATGTGTACACATGTATGTAAATGTAAAAATGATTCCTGTTGAAACTGTGCCAGGAATCAGGGAAGGGGGCTTGGGGAAGAGCAGTGGAGGGATGAATCCAAGTATGATACATTTGATACATTTTATGAACCTTTGTAAATGCCACATTGTACCCCCACCCAGCACAAAAACAACAACAATAATAAAACCTGATCTAATTTCCATAGAGTCAAATTGAGCAACCAAGCCACTAACAAGAAGAAATGATCTTCTAGCCTATTTGCCCTAAGAGTGTTCCCTAGGAGCCAGAGCCTCGTGAACGCTAACCATGTCTCTACCATTGAGGTACATCCTCAGTTACTACTAACATGCACTCACTGGCAGAGTATTTGAAAAAACAGAAAAACTAATTGTTTTGAAGAAAAAAAAAGTCTTCCACAGTCACAGAAGTTAACGACAACCAGGACTGTGATCGTGTTTCTTGCACTTAGAGTGTGAGGGGTGGAAGTCCGCAATGTATTTTATTTTAGCAATTTAACTGAAGCATGCAGAGACTGCCTCAATATGCTATAGGGAAATCCCATTACAACTTTGGGCCACTATTCATGGTGGTGATAACTGACTGGTTACACTCTGTCATGAATCATGAATTATCATTTATTTTCCCAGGGCTCCTTCCTTTGATGCTGATTGAATTTCAGCTGCTCCCCCACCCCCACCATGTTACAGCACCTTCAATATCAACCTAAATTTGGAAATTCCATTTTAGGCATGTGGTCTTCAAATGACAATTCTTTAATCTACCTAGAGTTTAGGGTAGGTGCTCAGGCCTGAATAGTAAGGTATTATTTC